CTTCCTCCACACAAAGTAATATGTCCCAGTGAGGCATTTCTTTTATAGTAGCTATTTTGCTAGCAGTTTGACTAGAGATTTGATTTAACTTGCCTTTTTTTTTCCCCTTTCATCAGCTTGGCTGACATCAGGAATTATCAGTACATTCTGGAATTACAGAATTGCCACAGAACTACTATTTCAAAAATTCATCTGGATTATATAGTAAGTGCCAGTGGTACATTTTTCTGCCAAAAGGTGATTTATAAATTCACTTTCGCAGTTACTTCAGCTAGTCGCAGTAGCTCACAATGTGCAGAATGGAGCAAACCAGCTGCAACTATTGGCAACCTTTTCAACATACTTGTTGCACTCAGGTCTGTTTACAAGGTAACTCATGGAAAAGGGAAATAAAACTCACTTTCAGTTTTTTAATTCTGAGCTCAATAGTTTGTATGTCAGTGCTGAGATCAAGGTGGCGGAGCTTCTCCAGTTCCTCTTCAGTTTCTCCCAACCAAGCCCAAATGCTATTAAGGTCGGAGTTAAACTGCTGCCATTGCTGAAGGTTCTGTTTCATCCTCAGCTCTTTGCTTAGAGCTTGAGCCTGGATTAATTCCCATCGGTCAATTACACCTGGAATGATAAACACCAAATTCAACAAAAGCAAAAAAACCACTAGCCACACACACAATTGCTCAGTTGAATCCTGTACAGGACAAAAAAAATTCTCCATAAAACCCAAAAAACCCTAACGCATGAAACACCACACTGAAAACTAAGTTAGATTGAAGAACGTGATGTTGGAGAGAAAAAATGAAGAATCTGGATGATTCCAGGCAGCAGGCAATTTTACCACTTTCTAACGTCAGACTTCTGTGAACACAATTAAGTTGAGACATGCAGGTCTCTAAAACAGGTTATGTTGGTATAAAGACATAAATTAACATAAATGAAAACTGGACAAGGAATCTGAGTATGTCTACCTAGCCACATATTTATTATTATTTTCATTGCTATTTGTACCTATCACAATTTAATACTCACACCTCACTACATCTGCCTAAGCTACTCCTGATGCCTTGGATAAATACCTGCGCTAAAAAGAAATAAATTAGGGGCTATTTCTTCCTGATAGGTATCTTGAAATGTGATGGCAGAACGACAAGTTGTATCATTCCATCAACTTAAAAAAAAAAAAAAAATAGACCGCATGTGTAGCATATCTTGCCAAGCTAAGAATGGAGATGTTGCCTTTATAGTCTCTGGAACAAATCCATGTTTTTACAATGCAATACCTCCTGTTCTGCAGCTGATGCTTAAAACTAGTCAGGTGAATACTTCTACCAGGTGAATATAATTTCTGTACTACAGAGAGATAGATATTATTAGAAGTGAAATATTAGATAGATAATATTAGAAGTGAAAGCTAATATTAGATGAAATGAATGCTGACTTGTTTTGTACAGCAATGTAGTAAGCTACCTTTTTTCATCAGAAAACTTTCAACAAAAATGCATTGCATCCACAGGGACTTTCCGAAAGGCTTAGGGTTATGTCTCATGATGTGAAGGGGTTGTTAAAAAACACTTGTATGCCTAATCTTTTTGTATGGCATATACAAGGAATACTTACTATTCCTTAACTATTCCTATTAAGAGATGTTAAACAGAACAGGGTAACAGACACGGGCATGTAAATATATGTCAGTAAATAATACCATGTGTTCAGAAAAACTTTGCATGTTTCCTACTTTTCATAATTGCTTTCTATAAAATAACTAAATGTTACTTACCAGCTGTTTGTGTTTCAGTACTGTTCAGGTTAATAAGTCCAGATAATTTTTCTTCTTCCTCCTTCAGTTTAAATCCAAGCCTTTTTACTGAGTCTATGCTTCCACTGCACTCACCCAGTAGCTTCATCTGTGTTAACAAACAAAAAAATCCCATCTCAATATGCACTGTACAGGACTAATTCCATGGAAAATACAAATTACAATGCAAGTTCCAAAATCTTCCCAAAGTAGGTCTAAGCCTGAAGATAAAAATCTATTACTTTAACAACCTGTCCTGGTACTATCAAAGAATGTATATGGACACAATAAAAGCTTAAAGCATAAGTTCAGACTAAATCCAAATAACTCAGTGCCGCTGTGCCAAATTGTGCTGGATGGCTTTAGGTGCCATCTGTTCTAAATCATAGAATCATAGAATTGTTTAGGTTGGAAAAGACCTTTAAGATCATCCAGTCCAACCATTAACCTACACTACCAAGTCCACACTAAACCAATCAAGGGTAGACTAGACTAAACCATGTCCCAAAGTGCCACATCTACCCGTTTTTTGAACACTTCCAGGGATGGTGACTCCACCACCAAATGTTAAGACACTATAACAAAGACACTAGAAGACGTGATAAAGGAAATAAATATAAGTGTGGAAATATTACTATGCATCCAAGCAGCTAATCTTTCACTTCTGTCAGTAATAAAACTATTTGAATGATTTAGAGAGAGATTTTTCTTCCAGAAAACCCCTCTGAGAAAGCTTTTTAAGCACGGATTCCATATATGCAACCTTGCTTACATGATGCATGTTTATAATTCATCAGCAAGATGAATACCGTGCATGAAGCTATAAAACCTGCTTTTAAAAGCAGAGGAATTTTAAACAAGGATATCATCATTAGATGGACAAAAATACGTGTGAGAAAGTACTTTTGGACATCTGCAAAAATGTAATAGGAAAATAAATTCCTGAGAGTCATGTTCCTGTAACCTTATGCTATTGTAAACACACTAATAACATAAACAACAATGTGGTTAAGGGTAGCAACCACATGAGTGAATAAGTCTGAGAAGCAGTAATATCTAATTGCTTTGTTGAAAAAGCTATATTTCTTTCAATAGCAAATCTAATCTTGGAGTGCTTATTCGACTTGTGCTCCAAAACACACGCACATATCCTTTGTAAGTGGAATCCAGCTCTGGTCCTGTAGGTGTTTTGCTGCGGATGATGTTTTCTGTTTGCTGTATTTGGAAACGACTGGTGTCTAAGGCCTTGTCCAGCTGTCGGATATGTGCTTCCAGGGCACCAGGTTCTCCTGTACCAAAACCAAAAAAAGTGACTGTCACTGAAATTTTCCCAAAGTTTTTTTTTATCTTTTGCCCAGGCAGAATAAATATCAGGAATACTACCTAGACAGTAAAGGAGAAACATGATTGCAGCAGCATGAGTGGTACAATGTCAAAGCAAACCGATAACTAGTTACATTACAGGGTGTTAGCGACCTTCAGAGGACAGATGAGTATACCAGTGAACATGCTTGCCATAAGCATACTATCAAAGAGTCCACAATTTAGAACAGGCTTGCAAACTATTCTGAAGTGACTTTTTCCCTCAGAGAATTTCTCACCTCTCTAAAGGGGAAAGATCTTAGCAAAGCGTGCTCCAACCTCACTGATTTTGGACAACGCCTCGGCCCCTTTCACAAACACTCTCAAATAAAAGCTTGTGTCCCAAACTCCTGATCCAAATCTGTGCTAAAATTTGATTTCTCCTCACTTCTCTTTGTATTACTTCTCTCCACTAAAAAATAGTAGAATTTCAACCTACGTGAAAGGATCCTATTTGTATACAATTTTGAAGATTAAAAGCGGTATAAAAACGCTAAGCAATACTGTTATAATTACACTCTCCAGGTCCATAGACGACTGGACATCTTGAAGACCCACAGCAAGCGGTCCACGACTGATTTAGGCAACCACACTAAGCAGCAAAATTTATAGTATTTTTCCAATTAGGTGTTCGACAAAAATTATGCTTAACATATCTGCAAGATGGTATTATGCATCAAAGCTGTTTGGAACTCATACCAATGTTTCTGAAGCAGGGCTAACTTGTATTTTCCTTACAGAGGTCAGCTGAATTGTGACATGAATTAGCTACAGCCACTTCTAATCTGAAGCAGGCTGCAGCCTAGAGGACCACATGAGATCCCTCTTATCCATATTCTATTACTGTGCTTGATTTCCATCTGTTTACAAAGACAGTTTGAATTTATTAGTAAACACACAATTCAAAACATGCATAGAGAAGGCAAGATTTCTGTCCACATAATTACAGAAAATGGAGCCTCTTGGATGGTTAATCTTTCTTCATACAAAACACCGCCTCACCCCAAACGGACAGAACAAAGTGCTCAATATTGCTTTTCCCTCACTACTTTCAAAATTTTCACAGGTCAGAAAACTATGCACATTTTTCTATATGTACTGTGCTTAAGTATACTCTTAATCAATCTCAATATTATCTCACTAATTTGGGGAAAAATTAAAAATGGACAGTGAACCTGAGGTCCATGCCACAGATGCTGAGATTTTAAATGTTTTCTATTTCAAATTTGCAATGAAGTCATTATTTCAAAAGAAGAAAACTGAAGTGAAATCATGAGAGAAGGTATTTGTAAATGCATCTAATCCCTCCAAGAGAGTAATCTAACAAATGAAACAGTAGGTTTAATCTTGTGTAAAATCGCAACATGAAAAAAAAAAAAAAATCATCTTCCAATATAAAAGACTAAGATAAAGACATTGGACTACAGTACCTCACCTTGGCATTGTTATCACATGAAATAACAACTAACCTACAAGTTTATATCTAAGTAATAATGCAAGCTGTGGTTGTGTTAAAAAAAATAACTGCAAACCTGAACAATCAGGTTTTGCTCTCTCTATCTTTTCCTTCTGCCTTAATCTTTGTAGAAAACACTCGTCTCAGAGACATAACAAAGTATTAAGTCCTGTTGAGGGACTCCAGAGAATAAAGACCAATCAAAGTAACCTACTGACCAGTTTAGTCTAGTTAGCTGAGGTGGGAGGGTCAATACTTCAAACATCATTGTTTCATCCATGCACCTAATAATACCTTTAAGTGCAGTAGTAAAGCAGGATACTTCTACATTAACATGCCAATGCTGCCATGTAAGAAATATTTATCTTGTAAGTTGTGAAAAGTACAGCAGATGCTAAGGAAGAGAAAGAATTTATGCTTGTGCGCTGTGGTATTTGCATCTGGCTATGCTTAGTCTTTTTTAGATGCCTACCAGAGTTATTTTTGAGTGTGTTTTCTGTGAGTGTTACAGAGGCCTCAAGAGTTTCAGGGATCTCTACATCTGAAAAAATAAAAGCACAGTCTAAATTGACAGCTCAGCAATGGCTGTCTCCTCACAGCAGGAGTCCTTTTCATGGGATGGAATACATAAATGGTTCCAATAGCAAACATCCTTTCTGGAGAATGAAAAAAGATGAAGACTGAAGCACAGGGATCCTGTGACCAAGTCTCTTAATATCCAGACAAACCTGACTCTTTTCAGAGCAATGATCTGGAAAGCAAAAGACAGCCACAAGATCAGAGTATAATATACCAGTATGTCTTCCCCCACAACTGGCTGCATTTGGGCACTTTCACTCGTTAAGATGGATTACACAAAGCATACACACTTAGGAAGGATTTCCAACTTCACTGGAGAGCAAGACCTAAGATCTCACCTCAGACTAAACGCTCAGTTGCTGGAGTCTTGCCTGGGTAAGGACGGAGTTCAGATTTACTTAAGCACTTGATGATTTGGTCTGCGGATCTCTCCCACAGCATTTCTTCATCGGTTTGTTCTGCACTTCTTGCCATATCCAGTATATTTTTTTCTAGTCAGAATAACTTCTGATGCATTGCTGTTACAGATGACGTATCCCATCTGGCAGGCCACAAGCATAGAGGCACAGCCAATTCCCTGTCATATCATATACGCCTTTGCGATTTTCCAAGATTGTAGTCATCCAGGAACCTCCATCGCTGTGTCTAAGGCCAGAAGGCCACTGAGATCACTTAGGGAAAGCTATTTAAAATCTTCAGGGGCTATTTAAAATACTTTTCTATGAGCATCTTGGCCAAGCAATCACACATGTAACATTTGCTTCTTTTTACTAGGAGAGAACAGGATGCACAATTTGCCACCATACCTGCTATACCAGCTGCTCCTCTCAGGTAGAAGTCCTTCTCTTGTCCTCCATCTTCTTCCTCAGAGTGCAGTGCCCGTGAAACAGCTGTCTCCAGGTCTCTGCTAAGGTCGTAGTCATGATCCCACTCCAGGGGAATGGAGTCCACACTCGCAGGGGTATCTCGCCCTGATCGCTCGCTTCTCACCGGCTGGGAAAGAGGCAGCGAAATGTTGGAAGAGGGGTGCGGGGAGAGAACGCTGTCTGCAGATTTGTCATGCCAGTGTATGTCAGAGAGATCTGCTGATTCATCCAGGTCCACCTCTCTGTCAGAGAGGTCATGTTCGTCATCTGTCAGCTAGAAGCATAATGCAAAGAGAAACAATCAATGAAACATGCAGAGGCACTGCATGGTCGGTCTGGGTCAGTGAAATAAAGTAACGTTAGGCAGCAGTCACACTGATGGGGTTTCCATTTTGCATTCGTTTGCACTTCCTTTTCATTATTTTAAGGTGCGCTAACAACCCAAAGCAACAAAAAAGTTTATAATGGCAGCTCATTTTAATTACTTAAGGCACCACAAAGTCTCACATCAAGCAAATGTCTCCAGACTCTTTACTGATGCCACTGCAATGCAGACACCAAGTTAAAGAAAACTCTGGAATCAAGTCATAGGAAGCATAAGTGACCTTCACTGTGACAACTGCTCTCATTATATCCTTTCATATTTGGAAAACCCTGGGTTTTGTTCCTTTCCTTCAGTAGGACTTGAGCTCTCAAAAATCATTTTGCTCTCACTTATTCAGCTGTGTGGTCAGTTCTGGAGACAATTTTATGTCTCTTCTGTTGGGGGCAATCGTTTTATCATTGTTTTTTAAATGAAACAGAACTCAATAAGCTGCCAATGAAACTGACAGAGCAGAGAGATGTTCTTATCACCAATACCACACTTCTACCCCACTTTAATAAGGTTTTATAAATCTCCAATTTGCATGGATTTTCATGATGATTTACAAAAATTCCAGATCTGTTGAATTTGCTCTCTGAACAGGACCATAAATAGCATATAATGAAGGGAGGCAGATGGTCAGGGTTGTAGCAGAATTAAACCACAGGATTTTTTGAAAGTTACAGAAGTTTCATGTTAGTTCATTTCAACATCTTTCTCCCTCCTCATTCTCACACTTGTAAAATGGCAACAAACCAATCAAACGTGTATTTATGTAACTATACACACAGGAAGGCGAATGAGTTTCTTGTGATAGCGTTCCACACGTCCAAAGACCTCTTGGCAGTAATGACGCAGCTCATCTAGTTCTTCTTCAATAACAGCTGCATCCAAGGGCTCACTTTTCTCAATGAGTTGCTCACCCTGCACAATTATCTGCCCGATTTTGTTGTTGTTCAGTGAAATTTCTTGCTGGAAAGCCTGCATAAAAGAAAAGCCCATGCTTTATCAATGAAATCAACATTACAAAAACCTAACTTATTAAGGATGCAAGTCTTAAAGTTTTTCAGCAAGAATGGTGTGGGTAACAAACAGGGATCATTCCCAATATTCTGGCATGAGCAACAATGAGCAATTAAATTTAGCATTCCACAGTCTTTCTAGCCAAAAAACTAGTGATACTTCATGGTTTACCATCTCATTCCTCACTTGTTGTATTTGGAAAGAAAGCCCTTCTCTAAACAAGCCATGCCCATAACCAAATGTCTAGAATGAACACAGATGTTAAAGCTAACACGCTGGAATTCTGGATAACATGACATTTGATATTTTTGTCTCCAGATAATGATTTTTCTGATGCAGAAATGGTTGACAATGTAGTAATTCTTAAGTGTCAGCAATAATGGAGACCTGACATTAATAATTTTTATCGACATTTCCTCTTGATTAGGGAATGAAGACTATCACCCTTGGTTTTTTGAAAACTTTTCACAGTGCAGAAATCTTCCACTCTCACAGAAAAGTACGTATTGAAACCTGACATAGCCCATAACTTCTGAGACTGAAGTCTCAGCCTGCAAGTAAGGGACTGTATCAGGCTGCGTTTTTGCAACATGTTTCTTAAATTCTTTTCCTACCATGAATATTTTTATCCCTTCTCTCATCCTTCCTCCTGTTACCATTCAATCATTCTTTACCTTAAGTTGCTTTATCTTTGCTTGGACATCACACTCTGAGAAATGCTCAATATTGGTCAGCTGCAGGTCCATCTCTGTTAGCCATACCAGGATGCTGTCACGTGCTGTCTCAAACTCCTCACGCTGGCCAATAAAATGCTGGGGGGGTGGAAAATGGAGTGGCATGAAATGACCAAACAACCCAAAAAAACCTAGCAATAGTGGTTCTCCGAAGAAACGGCTTTCATGCCCTTCAAACCTAACTTAAACTCAGTATGCCACCTTCTTTCATTTCCTACATGCTTTCTAAGGTTACCTTTTCAGTAACATCATCTACAGCTGCAATTCACTGACCTATGAAAGCTATCTTCTATGAAGGAGGTGGTGTTTGAGGTCACCAAGCATTTTCCTACAGATTTCATGCTTTGGTTACCTCAGAAAGTGAACTGATAAGCCCTCTTCCTCTTCCAAAGGTAGAAATCCCCTCAAAACCACTGTGCAAATGCATTAAACTGGAAGCTTCTGGAGTACCCCTGAATCATAAGTATAGTAGTGAAACTGAAGGGCTTAAAACTGGAAAAATACTTTTAGCCTGCGCAGGATGGAGGTAACTCGCTTTTGTAAGTTGTCCCATCTCTGGTTTCCCTCATGAACCATCTGCTTGAGGCTACAGTCAGAGTCAGTGCGGTTCTCTCGGGCCAGGCGGCGATATTGTTTATTGATCAGTTCCAGCTGAGTCAGAGTTTCATGCACTTGTCTCTGGAAGGCCTAAAGCAATATGAACAAAAGACACCATCAGATTTTTAATTATTGAAATCAGGACATATATAAAAGTCTCTCCCTTTATTTTGCCCCTACTTCTACACTCTGACCTATGTTAGCTGATAGATTTCGCTACAGGTGCAGACATCTCCTGAGGGCTATCCTATAGAGAGTCTGCCTTCTGATTAAAATGACCCCAAAACCAAGAAGAGTTTACGTAACTGACACAGTTCACTGAATGAGAAACTCCAACATGAATACCTGTTAAAATGGCAAAATCAGCACAAAAAGATAGACTCCCCTTTCTACTCATTCATATGCCCTTGTATTTGAGAACAGAAACACAAACAATAATATGAAACATTTTTTTAAAAAATGAACAGAAATCCAAGATTCCTGTGGCTTCACTGGATTTTCTTATATGTACTGAATTTGCTGAAGTGCAAACATTGAAAAGATTTGAGCAATTGTTTATTCTGGGTTTTACCAAAAATACTGAAAAATAGTACTGAAGGAATCATCTCTATCTTCAGTATGCTGGTATACAAGTAAGTTTTGTCTTAAAATTTTCATGAAAAGAAAATTTCACGAACATCCGTACCAACTTATGCCTGGGCAAGTGTCTGCATCATTCACTTTCAGTGCTTCCTCTACTGTTACAAAAGCCCCAGTCACCCAGCTAGGGAGCAGAAACAGCAGGTGATAGCCCATGAGTTTCCTGTTGTGACTAGCAATCACAAAGCAAGTTGGAGAAAGCACTTTGTAAGGAGCTGACTGAATTAATCCCTTCAAAAATAATAAAAAGGTTGAGTTTTTTTTTTTTAAAATACCCATTTCTATGTTGTCACAGAAACAGAAAAGCAATCAATCAAAGGAAGACTTAAAAACACAGACTACACAAACTCTCTTTTGAATACAAGCAGGTTTTGGCTACCATTGTAGTTCTATAAACTTGCTCTCTGATATTCCTGACAATGCAAAAACCAGTCAATCTTTCCCAACACTAGACACCACCCTTACTAAGGGCTGGAGAAGTGTGATAGGTAATATACTTTGTACAGAAATTTTCTTTGAAATCAGCTAACACATGAGATTTCTGCATATACAATATATTCTCTTCATATTGTACCAGTCAAAGCTAGAAGTTAAATAAGCACATTTCTGCTGTAATACCAGAGACAAAAGCAAAGAAGCTGGTTTGAAAACAGAAAAAAGATCAAAGTCTGTAGCGTCCTCTCAATATAACTATTCCCTTCATTAAATGGCCATAAAATTGGGTAGAGGACAACCAACAAGGAGCAAATGGGCTTGCAACTAGAGTGATGCTCAGTAGAACTGAAGTCACTTAAGATTGCACAAGGAGGCAATTATCATATCAGAGAAATCTGACTGTATTTACTAGGATCATGAAATCTAAGTGTGCAGTTGTTCTTTCACCTGTTAGCAAGCCTTGTCCAGCAAAAGAACAGCTGTGTATTTGTCTTCCATTTTTTCAGCTCAGCTACACAAGAATTCATCTGTTGCGTTCCTTCCTGTAACATCTTTTCATTTCTCCATAAACTACTGGAGAGGAAGGAGTTTGATTTTGTACAGTGAAGTCAGTGAGAGCCATCTCTGACCTCTGTGCTCAAGAACTGAAAGGTTCTTACATGGTCTGCTGCGCTCTTTTTTTTTGTTTGCTTGTTTTTTTGTTTTTTTTTTTTTAAATTCAACTGCAGATATGGAGGGGAAAATAAAATTAGAAAAAAAAATGTCCAGTTAAAGCAGAAACCTGCTTCAGTTAGCAGGTGTATGTGGCTGACTTTATACTGACTTCACAGCGAAGTTGTTGAATTCCGCTGAATTTGAACACCACAACTTTTGTCGCTTGCATTCCTGGTTTTCGGTAGGTGTAGAAATTAGATGTTCAGGAAAAAAAAAAAAAAAGAAGAAAAAAAGAAGAAAAAAAGAACAAAACTGCAGGGAAAGCAAGCTTCTGGAGAGGCTGCTAAACTGTTCTCTTTGCATCTACCTCCTGGTGACACTCTGTAGACAGTAAAAATTCCACAAGTCTGCAGGAAAGGGAAAGTCACCGTAAAGGCTGAGGTTCAATGAAACAGACTTTGCCCAAAGGCAGATCAGCTGTAAAAATCAAAGACAGCCAAGATATTTTTGGTACTGTTTCTCACACAGAGACTTGCTAAACAAAAGATTTAGATTCTGATCACTGAATAAAGGGACAACGGGAAGAAGGTCTGAGACAGAGTACTTGTGTCCAGGAAGCAAACATTTTTATACTATGGCAACCTACCTCACGATAATGAAGTCTGGCAGTGTTTAAGAACAAAACCTGGCCAGAAATGTGAATGTCAATTACAAAACTTGAATCAGCACTTCCCAGTTTATGTTTTTGAATTAATTGTTAAATCAAAAAGTATTAACTGGTCTTTGACATTGTTGAAAATTTGCATTTTTTCTTTACAGCAAATACTTTACAGCACCTGACTGTTTACAGAATTGCCTAAACAATTTGTTCTCTTTCTTCAGAATTATTTTTCTCTCTCATCTTGATATACTCCTTGCAAACATGAAACCAAGCAAAAGATTTTCACCTGTGACTAGCCACACGATATGTGTGCGTGTGTGTGCTTTCCACACAGGTATACACTCCATTGTAATTGTGAGATCAGCCATCGTATTGTAGTAGACACAACGGAGTTATGTAACAAGCTCTTAAGCATTGACTGAAGTAACAGCTTGTGAGTTTTGAAGCATGCACTTAACTTCACGGGGGACACCATGTGGACATATAACAATACTTGTACAAACATGAATTTCAGGTATGAAGAACTGAAATGGGGATATTGTACATTGTATGAAACAGGAAAAGAGTTCAGGGGGTGGTTTCAGAGAGTTACAGAAAGAAGAGGAGGGATAAAAAAGCAAAAGCTAAACATGCAGCATGCATTTGAAGAGGTACTTGGTGAAGGGAGATTTATGATTGCTCTGGAGCACCTACTGACTGGACATAATAAACTTTTATTTAAAACTTGCAGAAATAAAAAAAGGTGAGAAAGATGAACTTTGGTGAACAAACAGCAAGTGAGCGTGGATTGATTTATTAGCATTTTCAGTTGCTACCTTCCACTGTGTTTTCATCCTAGAAACCTGCTACTGAAGGCAGCTACACAATCATCATCTCCACTATATTAATACAGTGTCTCTACTGAGTGACTTGTATATGGGAAGGAAGAACACCAGCTGGCTGCTGTAATGTGATCAGTAAATATTAAATTTCAACTATTATAAATCACCTCAAATTTCTTCAGTTCTTCCTTAGCAACCGTGTAAAGCACACCAGAGGAGCTTGGGAAAGCAGCTGTCCTCTCAGCGTGTTTTAGCCCGTCTCCAAATCTAGAGTAGTCATCCAAAAACTTTTGCCATAGCCGCCACGTCTCTTCAATTCTGCAACAGATAATGGAAAATTAGGGAATGCTCGGACAGAAGGCCAGCTGACTTACAGAACTTTAACTAATTGTCTACAACAGCAAACTAGCACTGCACCAGACAATAACTGGCTCTTAATCTAACTCAGACAGTCAGGCTGATAAACAGACCACAGGGAAGGCTGGCTCATTCCAGACTGAGCTAGAATAAGATGATGGCAATTTTTTTTTAATGCATCTAATTTTGGAATCAGTATAAAAAGAAAGTTGTAAGTATGCAACAGGAGCTCTAAAAATCTGAGCACATGCTAAATAACTTCTGAAATACGGTCCCAGCATAGGTACCTAAGCCAGTATTTTAGAGATTAGAAATTCCACGCTACCTTCAACTGCATAACTTTTTCTTACAGAATGCTAAAGATGTTGCAGCATGTATTTTAAAGTTCCCAGTCATTATTTTGCATTGAAAAGGGACACAAACTTTTTTTTTTTTTTGCATTCACCAACAAGTGGTAAAATGCTATTTCTCAATATACACTGTACACAAATTTTTATTTAAAAAAAAAAGTTAAAAGTTACTCCAATGTTTAAAAAAAACAATTTGACTTCAGTTGAATATGTAAAAAATAGTGGCTGACTCTTGATCCTGAAATCAAATTCGCTTAATACTGAGACTGTAAAATCCCAAGAACTGCAACCACCATGACCTTTTTTGGATCAGGTTGTATTACAGCAGAACTCTGTCTGGTTTTACATACAGAACACATCTTTCCCAAATCTTAGATATGCAGGTCTGAAAAGGACCTGATCCATGCAAAATTTATGCTTTGTTGATGGTATGTTGTTTAACCTGAAGTTTGACATCTGGAAAATTGCTTTTTAATATGAATAACTGTTTCTAACACAATAAAGTTCCTAAGTACCGATAGCTCAGTTAACTTACTGGTACAAATCTACTAATAGCATAAAGCGTACACTGCAAGAAAGTAAAATAGAGTTCAATGCATTGTTCCATATTAACTTAAAACAATTCTGAGTTAATTTGCTGGATGCAAAGGTATGAAGAGCCTGTATATTTTCAAGACAGACTGTGTCAAAGATAGAACTTATAAGCTGTACTTATATATATACAAACAGAGTATACAAGAATTAGCATGCAATAGTATAAAGTTACTTAAAGTTAGCAATCTGTGGATATAGAGCAGCATAACTTAAAAGCAACAATTTTTTTCCATAAAATGAAGAGAATCTTTACTAAATACATTAAGAATATCCCCCAAAACCAAAGATCGTATAAAATTCAATTCAGCATTTTGAAAAGTCGTAAGATAAACTTTACCTAGTGTTCTTGACATGGCTGTGTAAACAGCACAGAAATCAGATTCATGACTTGAAAAGGTACAGAAAAGCTCTTCATACATACAGAAGTTCAAACAGTTAAACATGTATTATTACTGGTCAGCACAGAGTATATAGCATTGACCTAATGTAGCCTACATCATTATGGCTATCAAAATCACTCATGCTATCCTAGATGGGAACAGAAAACAGTGGATCTTCTGGATATCATGGGCATGCAGTGTGCCGATGGTCTAAGCATGTGCAGTAAGACAGATGACACCCAAGACACATGGGTGTTACAGACCACACTTCCTCAGCAAAGCTAAGGTGGACAGATGAGGAAATTCCAGATGAGTGTTCAGTCCTAATATTCTTCCAAATAAACAAAATCAACATGAGAGAAACTGTTGAGGAACATTAGGTGCATGGAAACCCTAACACCTGGAATAATGTTCCACCTATTCGATAACTAGCTTCCCCATCAGTCTCAGTAGTTCTAGGGTAAACTTAAGTGTTACAACTCTCCCTTTTAGGTCATGTTTTCTTAATCTCCTGGAGTCACTGCTATCATCTAAGCTTTCCCTAGTTTCTCTCTCATCATTTCTATGAAACATGCGAAATAAGACATCATTCCATCAAAGGCCCTGTGAGCAAAAATTGGTAATTGATATCTGTACCTTGTACAAAGGCACATACAAACACAATCTGAGATTTCTTTTTTTTTTCCCACAGCATAACAGCTATTGGCTTTTATTCAGCAAATGACCTTTTTCAGACCCCTACACCCTTTTCGTCAGTACTATAACCCTGTAACATACATGCCATCCTGTATTTGTGCCTGTGGAAGGAAATACTAATTTCTAGAAATTTTAGACTTACTTAAGTCTCCTTTCCATTGACATTGCACAAATGTTCCTCCACCTTCTGTCCAGATTGCGTGTAGCCTGCTGGATAGAGTCACACTCTGCTTCTGTGGCACAAGCATCACAGTCATGAAGAAGCACTTCACACAGGTTGAGAACAGATGCCACTCCAGTGCTGTGTTTCTCTATGTCCCTCTGAAGTTCCTGCAGGTGAAGAAATTAATTCTTAAAAGGAATTGCAAAACATGCACAAATACAAATGCATTTCTCTTCTACTTGTTGGAAAAAAAAATTAATAAGCTTGCAAACAGGAGAAAAACATCTAATGAACATCTATTAAGAGACTATATCTGCGCAAGTGGTGTTGCAGTGTTATCAATGAGGCCAGGATAACCTGGCAGCATGCACAGCTTTCCCAGGGACTATGAACACCAAACCATCACCTGGAACAAACTGTCAGAGCTCTGCATGCTCAGCTGAGCATCTTTCACATATATATTTAATCAACCTCACCAATAAATGGTGGAATTATTCCCAGCCCTTTCCCATTATCGCAGAAAATGTAAAGCAGAAGTTAGTAAGAGAAGTATGGCAAGAAAATATGTTCTTATCTACTGCGAGGGTTTGGTGAGGTACCCTTTGTGAATCTACTGTTCCCCAGGTGAGCTAGCTGCAAAGTGGCATGTTTGACATGGAGATAGGCAGCAGCACATGTTGAACAGTGCACCTCTAGTAGGCTATTTTTCTTCCTTCAACTTTCCAATTGTATAGCATTTTCATTGGAAATGGAAAAGGAAAATTCAGGACAGCTAAAGAAAATGCACTTACACTGTCTTAGCACTTATTATATGTGATCATTATTATTTTCCTGTTGGTTTCTTGGTTGCAATGGCTTGTCCTATGCCGATGTTTCACTTGAAGCAATGTTTCAGCTTCAGTTTTGAACTACAGGTTCAAGTTAAGACAAGCCACAAAAGTAATTGGTTATTGCTGTTGGATCAGTGCAAGGGAAAGAAACCCTGCTTGACTTCTGCCTACATTTGCAATGAATCATCAGAATATTAGATGGAAAAATCAGGATGGACAGTAAAAAAGCCAGGACAACATAATTCCTATAGTGACAAAGGAATACTAATGTGACTACACCTAACAGTGATATATTGCATCTAGAATACTATGTTCACTTCTGATTCAGATGAAGAAAAGAACTATTAGGACAATTAGAGTTGTGGAAGTTTATTTAGGGGAACAAGAACTTGGCAGCTTGAGGATGAGTAGAGATAAACTGCTCTTTATAATTTTGCTAGTGAAGCAAACTATAACATGCAAAGGGAAATATAGTGTCAAAATATTGTGTTGACATACATTTAAGGTCTAACTAGAGGAACTTTTCTTACAACTAGCAATATGATGTTCTGAAAATACCTTCCAGCAGGAAATGAGATCTAAACATAGAATCTAAAAACCTCAGCAAATTTGAAATGGAGAAGATCAACTTATATCAACCATCTGATTTGGTTGTTTGTGATAACTGGGGTTGGACTCAATGAGGTAATCTATTTCCTCTTCTCATCTATGAAACAGAAAGCTATTTTATGAACATCTACATGAGACCATCAAGTGGAAAATCACAGTGTTTTCTTCCTCAGCACTGGCCCCTTCACTTTCATTTGCCTGGAAAATACTCTTTTATCATAATGTCCAAGTGCTTATTCTTCTTTCTGCCCATCCTGAAGTGTTATATAAGGGTGGATACTATAAACAGATGCAATACTCTATGAAACACATACTCCAGACAGCTATGAGATTTGAGGTTAAGCAAGTTCAGGTAACACAATCCTCTCTGCTGTTTTGGAGTAGAGCAGTAGTGAGAACTGCTAGTTAGTGGTCCTGAGGATTCCTAAGAATTAAACTTTTTTATTCACCTACAGAACCTTTGCAGTGTTATCAAATGAAATCATCATCAAGTTGCCAAACATGGCATTCTCCCAGGTTAAGATTCACCTCTATTTCTCCCCTTTGTAGTTCATATTAAACCACTCACACTTCTACAGAATATCACTGCATGTTGTCACTGTGTGGGGATCACCACAAGGAAACAGCAGAAGGCAGAGATACACCAGTGTCTGTGCCCAGAATAAGTCCAGTAAGAAGTGGTTGTAATCAACTGTGGGATGCCTGCATAGGGATGCCAGTAAAAAAATCTCAAGTATCTACTTTGTTGACAGCAATGTTTAGCTCTGCCCAGCACTTTGTTGTCTCAGAAACACCACTCATTAGTGATGCTTGTGGGTTATAAAATATTATCCCTGTGTAAATTACATATAGAATATTAATAAGCAATTCTGCACAGCCATGTAGCAAACCAGTTGGGGAGCTGGCAAACACTCTGAGGGGGTTCTTGGGTCTCAGTCCCACACTCAGCTGAAAAGAGCAAAATTCCAGTTTGCATGTTTCATAAATTATCCCCAAAAGATTCTGGCACTCTTCTTCCCATGCATTTCTTTCTCCTTTGGAGAAAGAACTCAGGAGAGCATCTAACTCGTCTCCAGTGAGGCACCAGAAAGGTATTTTTGTCAATAAATAACCAACAGGAACACAACAGAACAACAGTCCTCTCCAGCAATGTGCTTCTAGGTAAAACTCCACTGGGCAGTGAAGTGGAACAGGAAAGAGAAAGTATAGTAAATCTTCTTAGGAGTAACATTAGTTTTAATGCCAAAACCTGGCTGACTTAACATTTTTCTGCCCGTTCCAGTGTTGACTATTTTGTTCTAGCACCGCATAAAGGCTTTGTGTGGTATAAACCAACCAATTTTAACTTCACATGTATAGCTCATGCATCTTTGCGTGCAAAATGATTCTCAAACAAGCTGCAAAATAAAACTGAGTTAGAAAGGTTGCTAAAACATAGTGATTTTCAAGCATGTGCAAAATTTGCAAGGTCTAATAGGTGTCAGTTTTGCCTCTGGGAACAGACAATTCAAACAAACAAAAACCACAAACCCCAAAGGAAAAACAATTGCAGTAACTCGTTCAGGTTACATCTCTTAGTGCCTTACCTTTCTCAGAAAAGGTCAATCAGCTCCTGGTGGATTCGATGTCAAAGCCAGCAGAAGGCTCTATAAGTGACACAGTAAGTACCACTTGCCTTGATATTTAAACACTTCTTTGCCTCATGCCCTCTCAGCATTGAGCCAGGTATGGGCAGCCCAAGGATACTCTACTCTGCTTCTCCCCATGTCATCATGCACCTGGTAAGAGTGTTGTGTTTTACCTGCTGTTCATTTAGCTTCCTTTGTATCTCCTCAGAGTCACAAGTTTCATAGACGATAGGTTTGGACAGCTCTGACTCAATGTGGGCAAGCCAAGATCTCAGGCTACTCATGTTTTTATCCAGCTGCTGCACTGCAACGAGGGTCTCCTTCAACTTCTTTACCCTGTAAAGAAAAAGAAATGGCAGCGTAAGTGCACCCTGAAGGAGAATTTCCACAGCATGTGTTTCAGGAATTTTTCAGAGAAACTTAACTTAGATGGCAAGTTCTGTTCTGAAGCCTTCCTTTATTATGTAACAGAAGTATATTATATGTGCAGACAGTCCTGCATTCATAGGTTCTTACTAACGCCAGACAACATTTTCAAAAGCTTCTGTACCTTTATCAGTTGAGTTAAATGTTAGTTAAGAAAGGAAAACTTTTTTTATTGCATGAACTCACACACATCTAAACACTAAAACAAGCTAAGTAATTTAGCTGTGTATTTGACCAACAGATGACAAAGGTTCTTACACTACAAATAACTTATCTCTTTAACCAGTACCTGTGGTAGAGTGCACTGAGTGAACAGGCCTTTTTCACCCCGCTGATTTTTAAACATTGAACTACATATCATAGAATGCTTTGGGTTGGAAGGGACCTTTGAAGATCATCTAGCCCAACCCCCCTGCAGTGAGCAGGGACATCTTCAACTAGATTGGGTTGCTCAGAGCCCTGTCCAGCCTGACCTTGAATGTTTCCAGGGATGGGGCATCTACCAACTCTTTGGGCAACCTGTTCCAGTGTGAAGACTTGTCCTTGAATAAAAAAGTTTGAGAGAGAGAAATCCAACTGAGAACTTAGTGAGAATTCCTGAATCCCAAGGGCTGCTTTAAGTTGTTCTTGGTCTTAATGGACTACTTTAGATTTAAACAGATGAAACTGGAATGTAACTGCATGCCAATTTCTAAGCAGTATTTTTCTTGAGACCCTGACCCTGCAACAGCAATGGCCAGGAAAAAATAAATAGAGGGTTTTTTTTATTCAAGCGAACATTAAGCTTAGAGAGTGAGGAAAATTTGACTAAACCTTAATCCTATCTCAATATTTTTTTCCTTTAGCCTGTTTCAACTGCAAAAAAGTCTGTCAGTAATTCCCCCCTTCCTATCCCCATGTTACATAATATACATTAGTGGATTCTGAAATTGTTTCTACCCTTTCTTTTTTTTTCCTGTTTATGTAGGACCACAAACAATTTTGAGTAACATTCCCTTTTATGCTTCTATTGCTCTTCCACTTAAGTGTTTCAATATCAGAAAGCTTGAAGCGATGAGTGCATCTGGGAATAGACTGACTAAATCAGGTTGAAAAATACGAGATTGCCAGATCTGTCAAACAAACAAAATGCCACCTGACTATCCTATAATTCAAACAGAGCAATTCACATTTTTTCCGTAATACCAACCAGCAAATTTATCAAGTGTTTCCATATTTAAAACAGTAGTTGCAGCTGACCATTAAAAGTCTAATATGGGTGTCCTTTTCTTACTTAAAGAGAAATGCAGAGACCTTAACATCAACTTAAAAAACATAAAAGTTAAATCTTTCAAATTTTTGTCTCTTTCTAGCCCTCTCTTTAGATTACAGATGGTCAAACTGTGGCTCTTTAGCACCAAACATGCTTAAAAACAGTTTGAATGGATCTTCCTTGCCAGTGTCTCTTGACCAACAGCCGCAGGGTTGTGATCTGAAAAAAAATCTTGGTAATTGGAAAAAAATCTGGGTAATCTAAAAATCTGGCTATAAGGGACTGAAGTCAACCCAATGGTGCTGAAAGACTGCCCCAGTCCCCATCATCAGGTTATCCCAAAACACAGCTATATGTTTAGCCTTGGAGAGATACTAGGAGAATAACCAATGTCTGGGGGCACCATGTCCTCATCACCTATGGCTGTACATACAGTGCTTTGTGGGTTTGGACCAATTGAAACTTCCTCACAGGGTGAGCAAGAAGGTTGGTTATCACTCTTCTGCAACTCACATACAGCTTTTCAGTCTCTGACGTTAATCACAAGAGGAGTGAAATTCTACCCATTTTCTGCTTCGATTTTCAAGGCTGGATGCTGCTGATGCTTTGCAGGCACGCTGGAGCAGGAAAGGGAACAATGACCCATGTCAGCCCTGTGTAGAAGCAATGTCACTCTATCATTTGCAAGCCCAAGCTGTGGCCCAGCCTTTTCTTGTTTGCAGTTGTATAGTACCCTAACCTCTGTGCTGGATTTTATTTATGTTTTGCCTGCAACACCTGATAAAGGGTCCGTCATTTAGAAAGTGCTCTCTTTGCCTCAGGCAGACTGCATGGAAATACATCCCTGCCAGAGCAAAAACCAACCCCGGCCCAAACAGAGCTGTTTTCCATCACATGACCTAAGTTGCTCAAGAGAGAGAAAGAAAAAAAGCACAACAGACTAAAAGAAAACTCCAACCAAAACAAAAAAGCCCTACTGCTAAACCTGCCCTCCTTCCAAACTGTTGCAATTCCCTGCACCTAAATTCCAAAAGTCAAAAAAGAAAAGGACAACCTCCTTCCTGCCCCCCACTGCATTTACTGTTAACATTGTTCTTTTTTTGTACTGAGTCTAACATAACAGGTTCCTTGCCCATGGTACAAATAGAAGCAAAGAAACAAGTGCTTCTTGGAGTACGCTGGGTTTACTTTTTTTTTACTGAACTGCAACACAGTGTTATGCCCCTAACTACTCTGAAAACAAATCTGCGAACAACTAATAGATGTAATCCATCACATCTAAAAGTTTTCCTGTTGAATTTTAGCAGGCAAGATGCCTATGCTCTTCATCTCACTGAATACTGTGCCTGTGTACAAATAATTACATAATATATGTGCAACAAAAATGTAAAAACTCAAAATCCTGTATTGCCATGTTAATGTCGGGGCCTGAAAGCTAACGAAACAAAAAGCTCTGCTTAGAGACAAAGGTCAAATTATAAACCATTCAAGTATGTGGGATTCCTAGTCAACTACAATTTTGATCTTTTGAGATTTCATTTACAAGATTATGTTTAAACAGTTAATTATTCCAATCATCATCTCATGCTTTTGTTGTAGCACTATGCATGTTACTGCAAGAGACTTGAGATAACTCCTCTCCTTGAAAATGAAGATTCTGCATTGAAATCAAAGGGTTGGACCCATGACACAATGGTTTTAAAAGTTGTTTTTTTTTACATAACACACACACATGGGTTTCCCCATGAAAGTAATAACTTTGAAATGTCTATTTTACATTAAGAAAATGCAGCAGGAGAACAACTTGGAGCTGAAATTAAGCACAAATACCTTTAAATCAACTAATCTTAAATTAGACAGCCTTAGATTCCACTTAAACCTAAACAGGAACAACCCTGTAAATACATAACAATGAATCATATAGAAATCATAGCTACTGCGTTAGTCATTTAGACAGCTGGTTACTGATATTAAACTTTAAAAGCAACATGAAAAAAGTCAGTAAAAGCATGTTAGCTAAGTCTGTACAAAGCCAGTAGAAAGCAGAAAAGATTTTTTTAAAAAATCTACTTGGAACTGGAGACAAAGTTTCAAGAAACACTTACTCTATGCAAGAGTGAAAAATATTACACTATTAAAATAAGTTTTTAAAAAATCAGCTTAAAAATAATCTTTTCATGATTAAAAAAGATTTATTGTCCAAAGTACAGTACTACTGTATTCCAGGACATTAGTACCATCATATTTGCTTTTCAGGTCACAGCTTCCCCTTTCAAAGAGAAAATATCTAGAATTCTGAACAGCAGCAGCAAAATTTCTAGAAAAGATAATGTGAAGAGGGAAAAAGAGAAGCTGAATTAAAAATCCAAGATGGTGTAGGCTGAGTTCAAGTATTACACACAGTTACAAAACAGTCATTAATATGTACAGGACAGACCAGCTTCGCTAAGTTAAGTCTGAAATACTTTCTTTACAGCCTCTCTCCTTTTCTGCCTTTTGCTTGTAGCCATGCCCCTTTGATGACACAAACAGTGAGCAGACAAATACAAAGTCTGCTTTCTCTCATGTGTGTACCTGTTCTTGTATTTAAAAACAGCAGTAAAACCAGTCTACAGTTTCTTTCAGACAGCTAAGAGATTTTACTAGTTCTGAGACTGCATCAGTAACAAAAAATTATTCTGGGATCCAAAAGTACTAGCTGTGAAACAAAGTATGCTGTTATCACTGTCAACTGTTTTTAAACTGAGCAGAAAACAGTAATTTCTAGCTAAGGTAGTGATTTCCACATATCAATATTTCAGTTAGTTTACCAGCAAGCCAAGACTTCAGAAAGAACTGTATCAACCAAAAGCAAACAAAAATAGCTGCCTGCCTTGTGATATCACAGTTACAGTCTGGGAGATCTGAATCCACACTGCCGTCCTCCGCCATCCTCACAGCATGCAAGTCCTCCGCCACCACCATGAAATTTTCCAGCATTAAAAAGAAGAACTTCCACTCCAAAAGCCTGCAAACACTATGCTTTGGGCGGGGGGAGGAAAAGGGACACACTTCTCTTTGCTGGTGAGTACTGTACAGAAAAAGTTGCATGCCAAACAAATGTTTGCAGCCGTTGGTTGATGAGACTGAATGGTGACAAGTGGTCATGTTTCTAAATAAAACTTGCATTCATCAACATGTGCCAGACTTGATCTCCAGGAATGTGGACTGTGAGTGCTAGGGGAAGGGATTAAAACACATATAAGAAAGCCTTCTTTGCAAAGCCTGAGCAGTTGCAGGAATAGCACTGCTTCCTGGCTGTAAACATCTGTAACGTTTTTTGCACCTGGCTGACATATCAGAAAAATTAATCTGAACGGATGAAAATGTTCTAGAATGACAGAAACAGAAGTCTCTGATGCAGAGACACAGCTACCTTTCTGTAGCTGTCTCTTCTGCAGTTACAGACCTCCTCAGAATGGAGAGGCAATTAAAAAAAAGTGGGTAAGGAAACAGAATGTGAGAAAGAAAGAGGCTTTGACAGGTGAATGGAGAAGTTCCACTGCACAGCATAAAATCAACAGGTAAAGATTCAGACTGGATGCATATTACCATACTATATCACCAAAGCATTCTTGTAAAGCACTTTCTATTCATTCACAGCTGTAGGAAACAAACCACTAAGAAAAATGCTCCAGGCAAGGGATGACTGTAGCTTTGCAGAAAAGCATGCAGGCTCTAATAATTTATTAATGCTGTCAGGGATCCAGAATATGAAAAGATGTGTTTTATTCTCAACACCAGAACAATTAATCTGCATTTACTAGCTGAGTGCAGCCAAAATCATGTTATATGATACATTCCAAACTCCAAAATAAAAGGAACACACCCCAATATATAACAACATATTCTAAAGAGCCTTTGGAGCTGTCTGAAAATTGTCTTGGGGGATGCAAACCCTTTTGTCCAATGGGAATTAGACATTAATTCAAGTACTTTGTACATACATTAATCAACAACTTGGGCCTTAACTGCTATCAGCCTAAGCTACAGCTGTACTAGCAAAATTTCCACAACATAGCAAACCTCTCCACCATGTACTTCCCAACTTCAGCAATGCAATGTTCAAACTTTGCAGGTTTTTTTCACTTCAGTAAGCACTGGAGTGGAAAGGGTTATACGTTTAATTGCATACAATAGTGCTGAGCATGCTCATTGAGAAGGCTAAGTTGAAATGATCTGGAAATAAAAGTAAATAAGTATTTTACATAAATTAGTTTAGAACTAGGACTTGACACCCTGTTTCATGATAAGAGAATGAGAAAGTTTAAGTGCATAATATTGCAGTTTATATCTCCCAACATCAAGCATGCTACAGAATCCTGAACCCCTACCTGTCCCTATAGAGGATACTAACCCCTAATACTGAAGAGACAATACAGATCTTTTAAAGATGTATTTTGCAGTTTCTGAATGCAACCACTTTTCACTAGAAACTTCCTGGAGGTATTACTTGAACATTTGTCCGAGTAGAAGTTTCAAAAGACAAACACAAAAATACGGCAAATATACTATATATTCAACAACTGGTGACGTATCACGTCCTCTGAAACGAGCAGGCTCCTCGACCCTAATGCACCCCTTCCTGACTTAATTGTTCTGTAAGAAATACACAGTGTTCATTACTTTAAAATGAACCACTACATTACTTTAAAATGAACCACTATAATAAAAGGAGCTGGAGCCACCAGAGTGCTTCTGCTTTCATAAAATTTATGGCTCCCGGGTTTACAGGTTTCAGAGGAGGAATGCAGTAAAACCATATGAAAAAAGAACAGATGAAAAAAGATGATGAAACTAAACAAGCACTTTTGCTACTAACAGGACTAAAGTATTACTAATTCATATGTCCTTACATCACAGAAGTGTAAAATATAAAGTATATGTACATTTTATGAAGGGCAAAATTGTGACAAAATTATTGTTGGTAATGGGAGGGAGGCTGTAGCACAACTCAAAGTACTGAAAGAAATAAACCAGCTTCTTCACAACAATCCTGTATTTCTTTAAGTTATGAAAATTGCTGTTATATTTTTGACCTTGTGTAAAAAGAATCTTTAAGCCCAATGTGCATGTCTACCTGCAGTTACTCTTTTCCACTAGTGAAAAAATAATCAGGCAGAAAAACTAGGACTGCTCTTCTTGAAATCCCAAACTACAAATGCATTGTTTTGATTCCTCTGCCAAGAATTTTTTAGAAAAACTACATTTGCAGCCATTTTTTTGCACTCATCTGAAGTAAGACAGTACTGAAGCAAGGGTCACTAAATCTGACTGTAACCAATTCTATGTTGTTCTAGCAGATAATGTTTTGAATTGACTCTTCTTGAAGAAATGATGTCAGGTACTGTTAAAGTAAAACAGAAGGTGAATTTCACAGAAGTGTGTTGATTGTTAAGAATAAACTCATTGCACAGTTAATGATGAAAAGGCAGACAATAAAAAGATTTTAATTACATGACATCCAGCATATTAATCTGTCTTGCATAGCACTTGGAAACAAAACAACTATTTTACCTGGCTGCAATAAGATCTAGAAGATGTTGCCACCTGTCATTGATCTTGCCAAGTTTGTACTCAATCTCTGATGCCTTACTCTCATGGCTGGCTTTAGCAAGTCGCTCTCCCATTTGCTGGAGCTGGATTTTGTTCTTCTGGGCGACAGCAATTTCCTCTTGATAATCCTGGACAGTGAAGAGCAATCAGAAGTCAGGGTACTTATTCCAAATACAGTCTGCTCTATACTACTAAAGAAACCATACAAAAATACAAATGATGATCTTTTTTGGTGATGGTTATAGTGGAGAGACAAACTCTTAAATATCAGATGTATAACCATGAACAACTTTATCAGAAGAATGAAAAAAAACCACCCAAAACAAAACACAATGCCTTCTATAAATATATCTGCTACAGTTAAACTTATTACAGGCGATTCTGATTGGACATTTAGCAAAGCATTCAGACGCCTTTGACTTTGCATTCACTTAATTTTCTGGTATCCTGGGATGTCCTGCCTCAAGAAAGACAGAAAAATGCTGCAGAGCGAAAGAGCACCACAAACAGTCTTAACGAGAACTTATAAACATCAGTGTAAGGTAAAACCTCCATTTCAGCTAATTCAGTACCCTCTTCGCAACAAGAAACAAGTAAGCAGTTAAAGAACTGTATGTAAGCGTACATGCACTGCGCTATACCTTTTTAAGTTTCTCAATCATTTCTTCTATGAGGATGTCGCCATTTTGAGAAACCTTACTTTCCATTTGTGTCAGCCACTCACAGAGCTCCTTGTTCTTCTCACTGAAGACAGTCCACTCATTCAGTCTCTCACTAACTTGCTGTCGACGTAAGGAGACCTTAAAACATTTGCAGAGAGTAAATAAAAACAAAACAGTAAACGCATTTAAGAGATGCTTGAAACACTTTGTGCCTCAATGTGAACTCCTCTGGCCATGCAAAAGCGTTCCAGCCACTTATTTGCCATTTAAAAAGACCTGGAGTTGTACTGCAAAAACTCTGTGTGACTCTGTGAGTTTAGAGGTAAGTGTTAATCTCAGGTTTCCTGTTAGCTACATCCTATGCATAGAGAGAAGCATCCAAGCGTTACGCTCAGTAACCTGTCAATATCTTGTTTTACAATGTCTCTAACCTAAAGGTTTCATTAGAAGATAAAAAATAAATTTTCTTACAGTTTTTGCTCGCTTATAAAATGTTATAAAGCATATTAATAGTTTCTTTTTAGTCTAAGAGATTAAATAAAAAAAGAAGTTATAAATACTTGACCAAAGTAAAAAAACAGATAAATACATCGCATAGGCCAAATTCCAAAAGACTCTGTAATTTGTGCATAAGCATGATTTGTAAGTACAAAGTTAAATCAAAGATACACTGTATTTTGCATAAGCAATATTATTCTTGAGTCCCAACACACTCATTTCATAGGCCACAGACAACTATTTCTCCTGAATAGGCAAGACACCTTGAGAGATTCCAAAGGACTGAGGTGTGCCCTGACAGGAAAGAATAGGCATAAAACATCAAAAAGGCAAATGCTGTAGTTAATACATGAGGAAGGAAAACATTGCTATGTTTAAGAAATTGCTATAGCAGTGGTACCATCTCAGACTATGGATAGTAATAGACAGACAAAGATGGATGTTGAAATCAAAACAGCAGCAGAGGGTGAGCAGCAAAGTCATCTCCTCAGTTTCAGACATACGTACAACTTACTTCCTCCCCATTGTAATGTGCGTTGTTTCTGACTTGATATCAGCATTCCAGCTGAGAAGATGAAGACTGCATCTGCTCTTTCATAAACAAAAGTGATGTGTTCTTTAACTACCATGTTAGGTTTAACAGGGGCAATGATCTCACATTTCCTTTTTGTGGTTCTAAACTTGATGGCAGCTTTCCGGAAATAAGCAACGGTTGAACAAAGTGTTGCACTAGGTTACATCCTGAAACATTCAGTATGCACAAAACTAAGATAAAACTTCTTTACTTGGCTCCTTCCTTTCCCATAAACATACATGCAGTGACTACACTATAGTTTAGATGTATCTACATTGGCTCTTTCACATGCAACTAACTCACAAGTTCTGCGCTGTTAAATGTGAAGCATTTTTTCTACTTTGGGGGCATTTTTGAAGCCTTCACAGGTAACCTTATATGAGGTAACTATTTCAAAGTTAGCCCCGGTATATCTGGAGTGCAATCTCTACTGAACCACAGAAATAACATTAGGATAATCTGAAAAGCTGGGTGAGGCAGACTCTACTACCTGGATTTCTAAGTGCAAAATGGAGGCAAGAAACACACTAATAACATGATGCACATGAAAAAACCAAACAATACTCCTCACCTCATTTCGCAGCCACGCCAGTCACCCTCAGACTAAGAGAAATGCAGACACCAGTGTCTGAAGAAGCAGAAGCTATCAGCAAAACTGAAGGTACAATACAGTTGTATACAATAATGTTGAGTGGGGAGGGGACATCCTTTCTGAGCACAACTCCTAGCCAGCCATGCCACAATCCCACAGCACACAGTGTGACTTTTTTGTTGGTTTTTCGAGGCTGCTTAAGCATGACCTCATGGCCATGACAAAGTTCAAGAGATCTAGAAACGCTAGCAGTAACTAAAGGAAGGATTTCAATGGATATTTTCCCTGATTGAGCAAGAGTTCAGTTTTGGTTCTAACTGTGCCTACATGCATCTTGTCTAAAAGCTGCCACTTGCATTCAGTTTTTCTCCCAACAGTTTTGTTGCCTGTGTACTCATATCAGTGCTCAGTACTATACTTGCCTGGTGGCACAGCTCTTCCCACTGTCTGTGCAGAAGTTCTATGCGTTCACTGAGGATTGAGATATCATCTGCACTGATATATACGGACAGGATCTCCTTCAGCAGAGAGAGGTGTGCGAGGTCATCTGTCCATCCTTCAACAGCATTCTCTAACTCCTTAAAAGAAGTGCACAAGGAAAAAGGACCAGTTTGCTAACAAATAAAAATTTGAATATGTTGATGAAGCACGAAGACAAGCATTGTTATCCCACTGAATTAAAGTCATATCTGAGCAGATCCACCATTTCAAGTGGACTGTTTCAGCCCAGTTTAAAAGAAAAACACCAGCCCCGTATGTACCAATATTTTCACAGTTATGAGAGAGGTAATACCTCAACAGAGTATGATACATCAGCCTTGTAACAAGTTCTCACAAACTAATATGCTACTCAAATCTCCCTAAAGTTCAAAGGTATTTTGAGAATTCCAAGTAGTGGTTTGGACTTCTCTATACTGAAAACATTTTCAAGTTGCAATCCATTTCTAAACTGCAAAGAATAGAGCGTAAAAGTGTTATCTAAGATCCCCCACAATAATCTCGCCTCAAATAAAAAGCACTAAAACAACAGTTTAAATATCATGAGTTTAAATTTGAAGTTAGAATTTCTAAAATAAAAACACGCCAGTATTTAGTGCTTCTACAGTACTCTTCAGACCCTGTTCTGATCTCACTTTGGTCAGATCTGTATTTACCCTGCAGGATTTGCACTACAGTGAGATCACTCGGGTATTATGCTGTCCAAATGTTACATGGATAGTTTCTTGTCACAGGGATGACTGACTGGTTTGCACAGTTGGTAACATGAAGCCTGTTAACAATGGAAGGCACAAGGGCAGGCAAAGATGAGACAACAGTCAACAGAGAATAAGTGCTTTACCTTGCAACGAATCTGTTCTGCATGCAACTCATCATGGTGTTCTGGCAAAGGCTGAGAAAGCTTTTTTTTGAATGATTTTAGCTTCTCCAGGGAGTCTCCTATGCCCTTTTCAGATTTTTCCCAGTCCTGAAGGCAGAATGTTTATTAGACTTCAATTCAGACCTGGAATATATTTATGTCAGTTGATTTGCCTAACTAACCACTAAACAGTGAAAACTTTTTCATAATAATAATATGCCCTGAAATCCCCCTCTAAATAACACTCATAGTCTCAGAGCTTGAGTCATGTGTACAACTGTGTCAAATTTCTTGTGTGTAGGTCTCTGCTAGTAGAAATACACAAGCCAAAGCCTCCTGTTATTACAACGTTGTCTAGATCCCATTCCAGCCTTTCAGAAAAGCCTCTCCCTGCCAAAATTATTTTCCGCTTCCTTTCTTGAATACCTGTATTAAACACGCCACTGTTCTTTGACAAAAGCTCCATTCAGGTGCATTAATCTCCAGAAAAAAAAAAGTGGTTGGGGATACTGCAAGTTCAGGTCAGATTGAAGTACCTCCAGTATCTCCTCTAAATTATGATTCTAGCAGCTACACCTAGCTCTAGGGTTTGTATACTTTCCAAAATTTTAAAAGGGTCCAATGCAATCAAACTACACCAATCATCAGGTGACAGTATGGTTTTACCTGCTTCACCTGCTTGTTAAAGCTTATTAAAAAGGTACTCACAGACAGAAAGATCTCCAATAAGTCTGTCAACCCATAAAGAATGCCAGTTGTGTGGTACCAGAAAACACAGAACTTGTTTCTCTTAGTCTTCTGTTTCAAGATATTCTCCTTCTACCACTGTGTTTGTATTTCTCTCTTTCCATTCTTTTCCAATCTATGCCAGTATTTCATGATCATCTTCAGGATGGAGAATTACAAACAACAGGTCTTGCAAAACCTCCCTCTCTTCAGTGTCTTCTTTCTTCTCTGCTTAGTAAGTAATATGACCTTACATGACAACAGTCTGTGATGTTCTTAATGAGACACATACTCTTCTAGAATATACACTTGTGCTTCCCATTTGGTCAGAAGACCACTAAAATGTCATGTATTTAAGACTAAGATAGCATAATGTAATGAAGGCTTGATATCTATGAGATGATTTATACAATTTGCATGGTAATTTCCCTACTTCCTCACCTTCAAGCATTAAGTTCCATATTTACATTGAGACAAAACACCACAGAACCTTTAGTCTCCCTAGATTACAGCTTTCATGAGTGAAATTTCCTGACATAATTCCCCCACTAGAAGCTGAGGTACAAGGAACAAGGCTTGAAAGAAGAAGAAAAATTTGCTTATCTGAACTTTTTCAAAATAATATTTAATTTTCTTGCACTGCTTTGCTTCTTGCTATTTACAACAAAAGTGTCTGTAATTCTATTAGATGTCTGAAACTATTCTAAAAGCACTTGCCCTATTCTTTTAATACACACAAGTCCAATTTTCATTATCCTCCCCAGAATGAGTAAAAGGGAAAACCAAACAAACCAAATTTAGATTCCAGCCTATCATCTTCAGTACTTAAAGTGAGGTTAGCAGGCATTCTGGACATGGCTTACATCAAAATAAAGTTCAAGGATCCTTTCTCCGAGATCAGAGAAATTTGTCTAAACTAGCAAATACTCAAAAGACACTGGAAGAAAACACAGACTACCACATTGCTAGACAGATCTTGACATTGGCATGTAGAGGGAACAAGGCAGGTCTACTTTTCAATACAGTATATGTAAAAATTAATCAGCACTGTGCAAAATAAAATGTATCTTTGCTCTATGTTGAAAATAGGACTGGTAGGAATATCCTTTATTGGCACTGTTCTGGAAATACCCATTAAAAGATATCAACTAACATACAAGCCTACTGTGAAGTATTACCACTCCTAGTTTCAGAAGTGGTGAAATGAAATTGTGAGCTCATGTAGCATACATGCAATTCCTGTATTTGTGCTTATCCCTTAGGAATACTTTTTTTCAATAGGGTTCACAGTGAGAAACCATGAACTTGCTGAAGAAGTACAGAATAAATCACACACTTACTTTCAGTAGTAAAGCAAGTTGTTTCTTCTGTTGCTCCAGTTGGGTGCTAGCTATCTTCCAGCGCTCCTGAATTTCAGTAAGCTCTGCCTGCAGGACTGCCTCAACTTCACTGTCAGCAGAGAGCAACAGTTGCTTCCCAGCTTCCACAGTGAGGATATAACTCCCTTGCTGCCTTAGGAGAACTTTCTCTTTAAGCTGAAAATATTAACAGTTTTCTGTCAGCTTTATCTTTTTAATTACAATTAGCAGTTCAGTATAATTCATTCTCAAGCCCATACTTAATTGATTGCATACCTTGGCTTAAGCATGAGCTACTGCCCAAATGCTTTACCCTAACCTTTTCACAATCATTTACTGCAGCAGACCTTTAGGAAATTTCTCAAAGGAGATAAAGACATGAAAGCCTTCTTTCTCCCCATTAATATCAATATCTCAATTGCTCTTAAAGAGAAATAGTTCCTCTAGAGTCTATTATGCGTATAAGCTTTATTATTATATGTATCTTCCAGCCAAAAAGCTTGAAGATACCAAGCTGTTAACCTCACATGAAGACGGGACACTCAACTTATCTTCTTTTGTTAGCTAGAATACATTCCTCAAACAGGACATAATTGTTTTTTTTCAAGACAGTTTCAGTGTGACGTTAGCTACAAAGCAAAAATAGAAGCAAATAAGGCTCAAGAAAGAGGGCCCAGTAAATTCTCTGTTGCACATTTTTTATGGACTCCAACCTCATTTCCATCACACTGGTGCTTCTGAGGTTATGTCAGTTCCAAAGAAGAACTAACATCCAACGTTGCTTTCTGCAAAGCAGATAGTCTGAATCTAATACATTTTTAAGAATGTTTTAAATGATGAAGGCTGTAAAAAAGGTGGGGATTTTTTCCTCTTTCTCCAAACACACTGGACATACCTGCATTTCATCCAGTAGTGCTCTGGCTTGCTGCAATGGGATAGGAACGCTGCCCAGCCCACTCACTGGGTGACAGGATATTTCCACCAGCCACTTGCGCAGCTTCTCTGCCATCTCCCTGTAGCGTTGCCACTGGTGAATCTGGCTGTCAATGATCCCCCTCCTCTGCTGTGCCCGGCGAATTACTCCTTGCCATTGATTACTTAGAAGAGTCAACTTCAGATTAAATTCATCCCTATAGTAAATAGATAAATAAATAAAAATACATAGTAACCTTCATATTTTGACCTCTTTGTTTAATGAAATAAACTGAAAGGAAAGGGAAGATGTTTTCTGGCTGTCAATTATGAAACACTAGGAGAAAAACACTGAAGTCTCATGATAGCTGACAGGATGAGAACTTCCCACTTCATGTACTGAGAGAATCAAAGGGTTCCAATGATTGAGACCATAAAAAAGCCAAACCTTTAACACACAAAACTCTTCTACATTCTCCCCAGATACATGCAAAGAAACCCCACAGGTTTTGCCAGACTGGATTAGCCAAATTCACAGTAAATCGTGGAGATTTCACAATTCACCTCCAGATTTCGCACTGAGCTCAAAGCAGGCATAAGATATACACAGCACTAACAGAATTCTCACATCCCAGTAAAGAGTTCATCTTATATTAGGACCATGATACCCTTAGCAAAGTCAGTGCATATGCACACGTCTGAAGCCATTGGTGCTTCACTGATTGTCATTCATTTGATCACAAGTGTTTAAAATAAAATCTCAGACAGCAATGAATTCCTATTCCATCACATTTAGGCTGCAGGTGTTCTTAAATGGCAGTAGGGAATCCTCTTGGTAGAGACAAATCCCCAGCTGGTATAAATCAAGTGTAACTCACTAAATCTGTCACTGCAGGCTCCTTTGGTGAAAGTGACATTTTGAAAGTATATCACAATAGACATATATGTAACATGCTTGATAATCCAAGACAAATCTTTGTCCGAGAAGCAGCCTCAAAGCCACTGGATTCCCAAATGCACTCATACATTCACATACCCCACAGCATCCTAAAGAACACTGTCTTATTTAAGAACTGGCTAACTAATAGCTTAACCACAGCGATAGTAACTTCTACCTCAGAAGAGCACAATCTGAACACCGCCACCTTCTCTGTTTGGAAGTCCTGACTAGTCTAAGTATTACTTCACATAACTAGCAGCAGCAACAACACAGGAACGTCTACCTGTCATCCACCTGTCCTTGTTCTAGGAGGTGCTGCCCATCAGAGATAATTGAATGCAAAATCTGCTGGCGGCTGAACATCTCTGCCTGGAATAGCTGTTGTACAGGAGACAAGAATGTTAAAACAAGATCTTACATTTTAATTCTTTCTGTATGCACTGGTAAAAATGAATTTTCATTTATTTAATCTCATTTCAAATTAATTCAATGGGAGTTTTGTCATGAACTTAAATAGAAACACATTTAAAAATCTTATTGCTGGAGTTACTGCTTCTAGTAATTATTACTAGTTTCTTGAGATTTAAAAAAAACTATGAAAAAGCTAAATAATATCAACAGGAGCTGGGTTTTATGTCTCTCAGTACAATTGTGTGATTGGCACCATAATTTACAACAAAATCCAGATAGGGTATTTATTGCATGGACAGAAAGGGCACTTGTTGTTTTCTGACATGTTTAAGAATATTATAGTCCTTTGCGTTGTTAAATTGAATTTATGCACAGATTGTGTGTGATAGTGTTATACAAACTTTTAATACAATTTTACACTGCCAACAGAACTTTAAAAGAAACGGTCAGCCATGTGTAGGAGCTAGAAATCAATTTTCCACTTCTTCCAATTTTTCCAATTTATTTTCCAATTTTCCCCATCAGTCACAATAAACTTTCACAATACTTTAAAAACTCCTTTATTACTTAAATATTACTTAAGACAAAAAATTACCTAAGTACTACTTAAGCAAAGATGACTTAAATATATATTAAAATTTATTTTTAAAAACATGTTTTCTTTTAGTAATGGACCATGTCTCCAGATAAGGTTGTTCAGGAATATTCTTATGTTGATGAAGGTACACCCAGGCACCAGCTCAGGACTGGACCCACCTCCACGTTCAAAAGGTTTTCAGAAAGATTAAAAGATAAAGTATACTGGTATGAAGCTTGAGATTTTTTTTCCTTTTGTTAGTGATAGTGTTTGCAGTTGATAGAAGTTCACCCTTGCCTGAACTGAGAGCCACTGTTCCCCAAATCCAGATTACACCCGTTATATGGCTTCCCACAGCTCAAACTGTGATGTACCAACCCCTGCATCTGCAACTGCCAGCAAAATACCCACTGGCACCTGCACAATTAAAACCCTCAAGCACACTATATGTAGCTTAGGACTTCTAATTTTTCAAAATGAGGTTTTGCCTGTATGAATCACTGAGTTAATTTTGAAAATTTTGAAAATGTTACCCAGGTCATAAATTTTCCCATAGAAAGAAATAGTGTGGTCTAATTTCCTTGCAGAAGTATTTGATAGTGTTCTTTGAATACCTTGGCTCTTATGAATGACTGCACCTGAACCAGAAGGGAACTAATTGCTCTATTATCTCATGAACAAAACCACAATATGGTGGGGTAGAGAATTTCAGAAAGCTGAGCAAGAAGGCTGAAATTTTACTTCCTGTCACATCTACTTCTGTCAAGTTAGGGGGCATGGATGAAGCACAGGAGGCAACAGCATCTACCAGCACTGTTGACAGATTGAGACTAAACAGAACACAACTGGCTAAAAAAACCCCATCAAAACCCAAGAAAACCAAACCCCCTAAAAGCAACAATTTTAATATCTTTTTTTAAGAGGACAGGTGAAACAAAAGCTTATCAAGCATAAGGAACTCTACTTAGAGTGGAGGTATTCAAGCCCTACCCAAAAGCAGAGACATTTCTGTCAACATCCACTTGCTCTCCGCATGTACACTGTCTCTGTACACAAGAGGGATACTCCATTATGTGGGACCATTTGCCCCCCCCAATTTCTTCTCATATGTAGATCACTATGAATCACAGAAATAAGAATTCAAAGGAGGAGGAAAGGAGGGCAAGTGCTAGAATGCACAATACCAGCACACTGGAAACTGAGTTAGCAAGGAATTTCCCCTTCCCCTTCCCCTGCCAGCACTATCTCAAATGCTTGTCTTGGTGCATTCCCACTGCGCAGGAGTCCCAAGTAATGTACCAGCCTTGCAGATGGGTATCTGGAGAATTGCGCAAGAATGACTAGAAAACCATCCTGATGGATTTATCTGACGCAGGTGCCAGTGTTGGTGCATGATATTTCGAAAAGGTATCACCTCCACATTGCTGGTCTGTAAATTTCAGTGGGAAGTTATATCTAAATAAGGCCATGGAGGTAGCTGGGGTCTTCTTTGAATAAACACCAGCAAGTTATGAGTCAGCACTGGAAAGCTGATAACAGAGCTGGAGGCATTTCAACACCCATTCTGGGAATGCATGTGCAAACAGAACATTTTCTCATTATCTTCAAAAATACAAAGCAAAACAATGTGGAAATTCATCTCAAGAAGTTTAGATTTGACCCCTTCAGCTGCAAGGAGTAGAAAGAAAATTCTTCATGAGTATCAGGAGACACTGCAAAGAACACTGAGTACCGAATACATTTAGATGACATAAAATGCCAAAAAGCTTTAGGTAAAAAGATGCAGTTTACATCATTTTCTTAGGATAAATTGCAGTATTTAGAAAATCAGATGTTAGTTCTCTGAATTTTGAGAGATGATTTTATAGTTTTAATAAAAAAAGCCTCAACAGAGTGCCTGAGTAACACTTGTCTGAGCTAACTTCTCAGATCAAGGTTTCAGGAGAGAATTAAGCTGAAATCTCAGGACAACTGAATGCAAGAAGATTGCCATTAACCCCTTCCAAAAAATTACAGCTATGACTGCACACAACAACAGTAGGAAATTATCCACTTAGACAGTAATAACTTCTCTACATTCAAATCTCAAAGACCTGAGATGTCTCAACTTACAAAGACACTGTCCAGTTAATGCTGGCAGCACTGAGAGGAAATGAAATGGATGACATTTGTGAAAGCACAGGCAGTTAAATGCAAAAGCAAATGTAAGCTAAAGCAAGCAAAAATGGTTGTGAATTACTTTCTGCTGTCTGACATTCATCCAAACACTATGCTGTGTGATATAAGGCAAGAGAAGGGGAAGGACATGACTTTCCCTATGATCTGGCCTGAGTCGATGGGTAGGTCAGCTGAAAAAGTTGTGGGAACTGAAACGACTGTGGCCACATGGGAGCTTTGGTATGAAAATTGACTTGTCTTACTTGATCTTTACCCGGATTCCTGGCAGTAACAATATGGGTGGAGGAAAAAATGTACATCACTTGACTTCACTGAAGAATCATAAAGGCATCCTCTGGTAAAAACTCTGAATCAGTTTTTCCCTGCAGCAAAAGCTGGGCTAGTTCTTGATTTGTTACAAACCGAAAAATGACTCCAGCACACAGTGAAGATCAAATCAGTCTGTTCTCCAAAGAAATGTTACCAAATGGAGGCCTCACAACAAGTTATATAACTCAGTATTTGACAAAAAAGTCTTCCTTTAACATGCTCTTCAGATGCTGTATACGTATATGTTGGCAATTTAATAACAAATAAACAAAATCAGAATAAACTGAAAGAACAGAGATTTTCTCCAGTTAGGACTGAAGACAAAAGGCCAAACTGCATGAGAATAGTTAGGTTCTATGGGAAGACCAATAAAAACTTTGATTGCCTTGGTACAAACCAATCTGAAGTAAACTAATGTAGGGGACAAGCACTCATAGGTACACTGATACATTATACACAAATGCAGACAGATGCTTAAGTCCTCCCCCAGACTGGGTATTACTGACATATTTACATGCTTCTGTTTTTAAGTTAAGATATCCTCAGACGGTGCAGACAAATGTAATTCAATTCAAGGCACACTATTATATTACTCCACAAAAGAATGTGCATTCTATTTATGTATAAATAGTATGTGTTGTAGTTATGTATAAATAGTATGTGTTTTAGTTACGTATAAATACACATGATGACTTGCCTCATGTGCCCTCTGTTGCTCTAAAAGGCTCTGGTAGTTTCCTGAAATCTCTGCCGCCATCTTCTGCTCAGTCTGAACTAATAAATCCATCCAAGTCTCACATTTCTCCAAGAAGGTCTGCTGCTGCAGCAAGAAAGACTGCAGCTTACTGAAAGACAGACAGATTCAGGTAAGGTCTCCTCCTCTCACACACAGTGTTAAGAGTGTTGCGATAACTTTTCCAGCAGAATTCTAAATCAGATGGTAACACTTTTCCCACTCAGCTGCCTCATTCAATCTATTTAGTCAACACTTTGAAAAGTAGCAGTCTTCCTCATTTCAAATTCTGTTAATTTGTGGCAAAACCAACATCTCAGCTTACTGGCTTCCCTCTTTACTTATAAGTACACCAAAGAAAAGGAAATTTGGTTAATGAAATATCTGAAACATTTTCTGTATTCTGCAAAAGTTATACTTTCTAGCTACTGTAATCTAAGAAAACTATACAACAATCTTTAACTGTCCACACCTGAATCTCTCCGTAGTCTGAGATGAGATCAGAGACCAATGTCTGTTCAGGTTCTGCATCCTTTTGACTTCTCTATCATTCAGAGGAAGCCTGTAACCCAGCTCATTAAGACGGTCCAAATCCAGGGCCATGCTGCTGAACTTCAACATCTGACTCTGCAACAAACAATAAAACTGGTAACTAGGAAGTTCAGTAATTACACTATTATAGACTGCAAAATTCTGAACTAGCACTCAGTTAAATTTGGAACGGCCTTGGTTGCCACCAAGTGGCAAGCAACCCCTATGCCAGGGAAAAATTGCATTTCCAGTTTTCAGCCTCTGGTCCCAGACCAGGAGAAGACTTACATTCATGTCTAAACGTGCACAGAGAAACAAACTCAAATTGCACTGAAGTGTTTTGCTGCATTGGGGATTTACTGCTCAAAGCTGCAAAAGTAGGCTACTGTTTGGAGCCACATGTTTAAACTGTCAAAAAAGTGACCCTTTTTCCTTGTTTCTTAGCCTGAATGCTAGGCTGGCAAATTCCCACTGAACTTATTCAACTTTTTATTTTTAGTTTTTTATTTTGCAGTACAGAAATATCCAATTCACAATGTTAGGAAAATGTCCTGTTTTTTAGCATGCCCAAAGTGGAATTTTGTGTATAGTTAATCCTGATAGAAAAATAGTGGAAGATTAAAATGACAAAACCAGCCTAGATGGCAAAGTTCATCAACTTCCTGTCAGGGCCTCTGAAAGAAGATGGAAAAAAAAAACCAAAACCAAAAACAAACCCCACAAAAAGAAAGAATCAAAGAGCTCAAATGGAGATCACATGGTACACAGTACAAATTTTTCTTCAGTATATTAAGATAACCAAATGAACAGATGACTTCATCCCTAAACTAAATACCACTGAGACAGGAGTTGCATAAATTCAAAAAGAGTAGAGAAAAAAGAAGATGAAGGAATCTCCAAAAACTGTTAAAAAACTCCATTCCCATTTTGATTTGATATTAATTTTATTCTAAACAGTTTGCCTGTCCTTTTCTTCTTTACTCAGGGGCAAAGTAACATGGACAATCACTCCTTGACTGCCATCAAACTTCTACTTTGCATGAGTGACAGTCCTTTAATACGTATAGAATGCATGTATGATATTTGTGCATACCCTGTACTACAAATAACCAGGCTAACAGAAAAAAAATCAACTCTTTCTGCATTTTTTAGTCACCTTGAGTTCCTCCATTCTACTCTGTATTGCTGAGAGATCAGATGAGTGACTGGGATCCTGTGCTTTCAATATTTCTTCTGCTTCTGTTACCCAGGCCTCAAGGACTTGCAGGTTCTTGGTAAAGGTTTGATAGTCCAGCACGCCAGCCTTGAATAGAAAAGGACCCACAGTTTAAGAGCTTTGGCCACATAGCATCCATATTGATACTACACTCCTGAGTATTCTCATTATAGATTTGCAAACAGCTGTATAGGCTAGGAGCAATTGTAACTGCTGCTTTGCTCACAGACTGGAATTACTGGGGTTTTTTTTAGGTTACAACAGAGGATTTTTGATCATAGCAAAAGGCAACACTTCAAAAACCTGCACAAATATCTCCTTGCTGTGAAATAGATAACCTCCTCTAACTTCCTTTTACGAAACTAACTCCTCTGCTTAATTTATTGTCAGCAGGGAGAACCACTAGTTGCTATTATTGCAATTTGAACCAAAAATCTTCTTTTATGTTTTGTCTCCTCACAGCACAGTGATGTTACAAGCACATTCTAGACAATGCTGGATTTCTTTGGTAAATCCTCTTGTCACCCGAACAGAAGCCCCTACCCTTTGTTGCTTTCTTGCCCATATACTTTCCTACAGAACACATTCTGCCACTCCTATTTTGCTCTTTAGTCCCTAGTGACAGAAGGAATTACAGTGATGTTACAAGCACATTCTAGACAATGCTGGATTTCTTTGGTAAATCCTCTTGTCACCCGAACAGAAGCCCCTACCTTTGTTGCTTTCTCGCCCATATACTTTCCTACAGAACACATTCTGCCACTCCTGTTTTGCTCTTTAGTCCCTAGTGACACAAGGAATTAGCCACATCTACTGAACAGGCTTTGACACAAATGGTAGGTGTCAGTCTGGTCACTGGCATTAATAGGAACTATAAAAATCAATTCTACACAATTATTCAGAATCTCTCATTTGTTTCAACACTAAAGAACTAGCTGGGAAGAGAGATTGTCCTCAGGGGAGCAGTAGCTGTGGATCCAGCTGTTAGCACTATCGCTGCCTGCAGAAAGCCTGGTGTCCTTGGCATTCTAGATAGACACTTTCCTCCATGAGGTTTGCTACCCTCTTCCCAGAATTTGGACCTTATTACAAGGTCTCTGTGCTGGACTTCAGCCTATTTTCTACTCTCAGCATTGGCTTCTAGGGGAGTCTAGGAAATGCTGATAAACAGGTAACACCACCCTCTTTTCCCAGGCAGTTTTAGCTAATTTCTGTGTTTTCAGTACCACAGGATCATCAGATTCAAGGATTGAAAACACTCTCTGCATACCTGAAGTACAGTATGTTGCTTGCGGAGAGCCTGTTCTAGGGTTGACAGATTCTGGTTGAGAGAAAGATGATCAGACTGTATAGCTGCTGCTGCTGAAGCCTCCACCTGGCTTTTTAGTTCCTCTCCCAGTTCTTGAAGAACAACCAGTGACTCCTGTGCTGTCTTCAAATCCGTGAGTACATCCTGTGGTAACACATTGAATAAAGATATGAATAGTTAAGCTGACACTCAGCTGACATTATCCTCCCCTGATTTAAAGGAAGAATGAAATGACCTAACTCCACCACTATATGAAAAACTTGTATTTACTACTGTATTTCAATGCCAAAGTGTCCACTCACACTCTGTATGAAAAGGAAATGATGTGCAGAATAAAAAATATGTCAAAGTACCTGTGCACAGAGGAACAGAAAGAATTGACTGCTCAGCTACCTTTGAGCAAGTCTGAGTTACTGATGAGGGAATAATTGTTGAAACAAACCTTTCAAATCTATTGACATGCTGGTCCTAAGCAGTGGCAGCCCTCACTGTGGGTTGATTCAGGTCTGACTAGACCTCCCTTTTTTTCCTGCTCTGAATTACCAGAAGGGATGAAAAAATAGCTTTTGTGAATGGCCTAACACAATGGCTAAAGAATGGGACATCAGGAAATGAAGAAATTATTTGAACTGAACAATTTGAATTGTCAGTCCAGATAACTATGGCAGCAAATGCTCAAAAAGCTCATTAATGTATTCATTTTTCTCCTTGCAATTGTTTTGCTTACACTAAGACAATTAACATATTAATTTTTTTGTCAGTGACACTTAACATTAAATTAAACTCAGAAGAACCAAAATGTAACCACAGATATGAGATAAACTATCCTGCTGCCTTGAAATATAGTCTTGAAAAAGGAAGAATCTCAGGGTTTCAGAGTGAGTGGTGTCCTTCCATAAGGAAGGACAAAGATGTTCCCAGAACATACACAGTCTCTTTCATTCAGAAAAAAGTGAACAGCCTTGATTGGTGGGAATATAGTCAAAGGATCTTGTGTTTCTTTCTATAAGGAACTCAATAGATTTGGTAGAGATATTTTCCCAAGCAAGAATCCCTTCAATAAGCAGGGACTTAAGACTGAATCAAATGATATAATTTATCCACCTTCTCCAGAGAGATGACTTCAGATACAAGCTTCTGAAACAACACCACAAGTAGTAATGGAGGGATCATATGGAAAGTATGAGAAACCCATGAGACCTGGGTAGCAGACGTAAAGCTGTCTCTTCTGTGCCTGAGATGCATCAGTGAAAAGAAATCTGTTTGTATGCAAGTTTCCAATACACCAAGTACAGAGTTTAGTAATGGAGAGTCTCTTGTGATTTTTCACCCACAGAGCTGTGAAAAACTGCAAAGCTTAACTCAACATACATTGCAGTCCTGAATCCAAGTAGTAACTTCATCATCAGCAATGTCTTTGCTGGTAGCAGTCTTCAGGAGTTCATTGGTCTGGTCTTCACGCTGACGGACTATGGAAGAGCATTGCTGGTAACAGTCCTTGTACCGCTGCCACAGCTGAAGGAGGCCCTTACTGGCACGCAGCCGCTCTGCAATCTCCTGCATAAGGTTGTTCCACCTGGTGAAGACATTGGACGAATGATTGAAGGCTGGGAGTCCACAAGAACTATCCCTGCCCCTCTTCCTCTCTGCTGTTTTCCCTGGTCTTTTGGCTTTTAAGAAATTTGGTAATAATCAAGATCCAGAAATTTTTGGGGGGGAAAAAAAAAAAAAGAGGAATCCAAGAAATATGTTGACAGGCTGAGCTGTCACAGCAAGTCTGATCTGTGCTACAACTTGGATGCTGTATATTAATGCTTGAGGTCAGAGCTGGCGTGCACTTTCTGAAGCGAACCTCTTGCTACTTCCACTTAGCACACCTTGGTTCACTGCACAGAGCATCGTGACTGACCATGAACTGCCTGTACCAGATTCCTGCAAGGGCCTAAGAGACCCAAAACAGGTGTAAACAAGAAAGCTTTTCTTCTGTTGCAATTTTCTCCTAAACCCTGACAGAATATTTAAAGTCATAAAGCTCTGTGTAACTCCCTTCTAAAATACCCCTAGACTTATTAAAACTCTTTATGTTTTTATTATCCAATTAAATATCTAATCTCCCTTTGAAATCTTGGCTCTAATGGCAAACAGAAACATGTACTTTCTCAAATGTGCTAGTATTTATCAAATTGCCTCATTATTTCCTTACTAGAGGAAACCACAGTATTTTTAAATTATTATTATATGATAAAAATGGTGAAATGAAAATTCCATCAGTCATCACTGAAACTCTTAAATCCTACAGTATCTTTTTTGAAATGGGATGAATAATCCCTCCCTCCACTTCCAGACTCTAGGACAGGATGGCCCACAGATTAAAATAAATTTGGCACGATTGTGTTTTCAAAAAAACCCCTGACTTTCCACCAAACTAGTTTTTGCTTTGGGATCCTGCCTTTCTGTAGCTTCTCTGAGTAAACCCTTACACTGGTTCTGGCCTGGATTCAAAGTTGGGGAAGCTGTTTGCCAAGCTACTGGACCTTCTGGCCTATCATGCCCTTCCTACAACCAGAAACAGCAACCTAAAATCTGGGGAATCTGGTGCATGCATAGGAAACAAAATTTTCAGACAGGGTTCTCGCATTTTAAGTGCAGTATTATTTTCCGGCATGTGTATTTATGACTCTTGGTTGGCAGCTATACATTGAGCAAAACTATGGATAGTAATATCCAAATCCTTTGCTGGAGACAATAATGTTTCATTTATTATGACTAGTAAATGAGACAGTACTGCTCCAGCCCTTGGCAAAAGGAATAACCCCAACCGTCCCCAGAAGCCCCCCGCCCCCCCCCCCAACATAATAAAATATAACAAAACCAGAAATGATGGAAAACTGGGTCAATGGATAAATGCAAATTTACCACTGAAAGTAAAGTTCAACACACAGGCATTGTCTACCTCATATTCACTTCTTTCAAAGTGTTGGTAAGTGTTTCAGTCACTGGTGGGTGACAGTCTTTCAACAGCTGATTGGTCACAGAACCAAATTTCTGTAAGCTATTTTCTTGCTTTTCCAATTCATCTTGTAGGCTCTAAAACAGATAGTGTAATAATAATGAAAAAAAGATACATAAGGTAGTACAATTGCATGATGTAGAAACATTTAAAAATAGTTATGTATCAATTACATCATACAGTTTGTAAATGCAAAACATGATTTCATGTGTGTTTCATCTAAATAGAAGGTTTAATATAAAGACTGTTAGATTAATCTTATTCAATATCAAGGTGTAGCAAAAAGTAAGTTTTAACCTAATATTTTCTCAAAACGTAAAAATCTTGTACAAGAAATCATTCTAAATAAATATTTCTTTGAAATAAAAGGTTATTCTATGTAAAAGAACAATAATTTTAATATTTTT